CTGAGGGTTGATAAACCTGCATTTTGGTCTGCCTATCCTCACTGGGTTGGTCTGTCAAACGCGTTTCGGCCAACCTTGTTGATCCACTGTATGGATAATTATCCAATAATCCAATAGAGCTATTTTCTATTTTTTTTAAAATACGTTTGATTTTATTGAGTTCCAGTACCTTTCATCAGTTTTACTAAGTTGGCCGTTTTCGATCATTCGGTTTTTCGAAGATCTGACAGAACAAAATGCTCGTGGACGAGAAATAAAAAACAAATCAATTTTAAAACAAAATCGATGTTAATAAAAATGCAAAAACATATAAGTTCTTTAATTGATTATAGACCTAGACGGTGGTAGATTTGGCCAATGTAGTGAGGGGTCTCCATTCAAATTTACGGCGAGGCCGGAATGGGTAATTTACTCCGGCTTCGTCGCCTCTCCTTCGGCTGTTTCACAAACAATGGTCCCGAGGAGAAAATTAGCCTTGCCAACGAGGAGGAAGAAGAAGAAAAAACTGGTTTCCAAAACGGGTTGCCTGCCGACATAGCAGATGTCCACTTCCGCCACGTACGAATTCGGCCCGTTTCCGGATTGGGCGGAGAACGGTAAAACGTGTGAAGGCTCATTGTTTTCTTCTTATTTTTTGTAAAGAAAAAAGACAAAATTAAACAAACAAAGGCGCCAAGGTGTTTGTCGACTGGGCGCGAAGCTAACTTGGACGCAATTAAAAATTAAATACAAATTAATCATTTTCCTTCCGGGAATTATCTATTTGGAATTCCACTTTCGACATTCTAAGAAGCAGTTATACAATTCTCCTGTTCTATTTTCCCTCGGACGTAATCAGGATGGCTCGTTGAATAAGAGCGGTTTGATCAAAAGTGATCATTACAGGCATTTCAGCCAATTTTTCAACCAAGGCTGGCAGCAATAGTCACCAAATCATCTTATATATATTTGAAGCACCATATAATTAAATATAATAATAACAAATCACCTAACAAATATTATAATAAATCCAATCTAGAGCTTAATTAGCCAGACAACAGTTGGTTATCACTTATCACTTTATCAGCAACAGTCTAATTTCTCAATCTTACGCCTGGTACGGCAGGAGAGGAAACGATGTTGATATTCAATTTAGATATCGGCGCCACTCCCGATTCCTTTATCGGGCCCATCATCCGTTGAAATAATCCAGTGGGATGAGGGGTCATCCTTTTCCAGGCGATCTCTAGAATTAGGATTTCAAAGCGATCATATCCTGAAGGGGAGTCACTTCCATATCACCTTCTTTGGGGGTGGGGTTCATTAACAATTTGAATGACATGTGACGTGCTTTTCATTAACACATGACATTAAGAGATGGATGTCCTTGTTGCATTTACGTATTATACAGAATTTGACAAGAAAGTTTTAGTTTTTGAAAATTTACAAAAAATCTTCCAGGCGGGAATCGAACCTATTTATTCACTTACGTTCAGAAGCAAATGTGTAGAACAAAGAAAGAAAGTGTGTGAGTGAGAGAGGGTGAGAGAATGAGAAAGTAGCGCTAGATAAAGCATAGGGAGAGAGTAAGAGAAATGGTCAGGATAATGAATAGAAGGAGGGGTGAGAGATAAAGAGACATAGAAAGACAGAAAAAGTGGTTGGGATATATACAGTAAGAGAGAAGGAGATAGACACTGATAATTAAAGAGATAACTAGATAGTTAGAAATAGATAGATAGAGAGAGAGAGAGAGAGAGAAAGAGAGATGAGAGTAAGCTGCTGAGCTAGTGAGAGAAGCTTACAAACGAAAAAAAGAAGATAAATAATGGAATAAACAAAATTATGAGAGACGAGAATTTGAGAGTGCGTAAGGAGAAAGAGAAAAAGAAAGAACCAGAAAAAGAAGAGGAAGAAAAAGAAAAAATATAATAAAAAATAAAGGAGATAGACAGGGTATGAATAAGAGATGGATAAAGTGTAAGTGAACGAGTGTGGCCAAAAAAAGACAGAAAGAGGAGAACAATGAGAGAAAGAGAGAAACAAAGAAACAAAGAGGGAAAGAGGGAGAGAGAGAGAGAGAGAGAGAGAGAGAGAGAGAGAGAGAGAGAGAGAGTGAGTGAGAGGAGACAGTGAGGGAAAGAAGGTAGTTTCTATGGAAGTAAAGATCAACTTGACACTTTTACCAAACACGATTTTGTAAGCAACGTCACTCGAATTTAATTTTAGATAACTACATCGTGGCTCGTTTCCGTCCCTAAATCATAACCCCAAATGTCACGGGTATCAAAAAGTACCTTGTCCTGCGTTTATTTTTTCGGTGTGTTACTCAAAATAATATCTCCAGTAAGTCTAGTCGTACGAAAAATAGAAAAAAATTTATAATTGTTTAATTTTCTGTGCATTCATCGTCGGATCACAAAGTGGAAGGTCGTGTACAAGGCGCTCAGATTATGCTAAAAACCCGCAACGCATAGGCGGATAGGAGCAATCATTAAGGTCTGGATCTGTCCCACGTGTAGCATTTAGGAGCATCGGCCAATCCGCAATTGCTGCCAACTATTGAGTCATGTAATTCTTCCTCCAGACTAAAAATATTCAACAGGCAAATTGCTGATAACGACACTACAAGTTTCTAAACAGTCTATAAATAATTTATTATTTATGTTAAAGATATATTTGGCAGTTTAAAGGTAACTAGTAATTTCACTCAACATATACATATGATATGACAAAAAAGTTACATTTTATAAGATATACATCTCAGAAAATTTCGTAAAACAATTATAATTTGGTTGTAGTTCTCATAGAGTCAGTTAACAGCTGAACAGCGATATTTTGTTTACTTATTCAATTTATTTTGTTAATCTGTTATTTTCCACAGTTCTTAATCATGTTGACGACGAGAAAACATTAACAGATTATGAGCCGTTTTAAAAGATTTTTCTCGGAGGTCGGCAGACGTGGGAGGTGAGTCATATCCAAACAGAAATATCCCTTTGAAATATTAAGATTATTTAAGGCTATTCCTATTTAAGGCGAATGTAAAACTCTTTTGGTTCACTCTACAGAATTTTATCGCTAACGTTGTCCTAGGGTGTTCAATGATTAACTCAATATCGCAATTTTTCAGCCTAGTAAAATATATATATATATATATACACTTTTGACGTTTCATGTTTGGAAAAGTTTTGGAGATAGATTCGTTTAGGTTTAGTTTCCTCACCCGATTGCATTGTTTACACAAAAACCAGTATGTGTTTCTTTATCGTCAGGACTTAATATGGAACAGTTTGAGGTGAGAAAATGGCAGAGAGGGATAGATAGATAGATAGAGAAAGAAAACGAGAGAGAGAGAGAGAGAGAGAGAGAGAGAGAGAGAGAGAGAGAACAAGGACCACACAAGCTTGTTCATTCATATATTGTTTTAGATCTTTGCTTATGAATTTGTAGCGAGACCAAGCGGACCAGAGATATTATTTCCTCACTTCTCACGATATCTGAATAATTTTCATTTGAAGGACGTATGATGAGACATGGTCAGATCGACAAGCATTGCCCCCAATAAACGAACGGAATAATAATAGTATCTGGACACGAAACAATTCTTTACAGCACATAAAACTCAATACCGGCCAATTTCGTTAGATAAGTTTTAAACCAGATCTGGCGGGCCCAGAGATGCTATTTCCTCACTTAAAATTAAGATTGGCCACAATGAATTATAATAATAATATATGGAAAATAAAAATATACTGTGCCAACTATGGACAATTTTTTTGAAATTGTGGGTCGCCTGTTACTGGTTGTAGATTCTGAGCGAGACCATGCGGACTCAGAGATATTTCATCGCACAACAGAAATAAAAGAAAAACTTTATAATATTCATCGAGAAGCAGAAATGAATTAAATTAAATTAAACCCATTATATTTAGAGGTCTGATTGACCAAATTACTTCTTTTAATGAATTATTCTTTTTATGTAAGGTCCTGGTTGACAGGAAAAAGTTGATGTCACGAGCGGGATTCAAACCCACGACCTTCGGCTCAATACGCCGCTGCTCTAACCACTTGAGCTTTAGTGACCTCCATCCACTCGGACACTAACCGGACCGGTCGTGGGTTCGAATCCAGCCGTGACACCGACTTTTTCATGTCAACCAAGACCTTACATAAAAAGAATAATTCATTGAAAGGATTAAATTAAGCCATTTCAAATATCAAATATATTTTTTCACATGGTAATTTTTCTAATTCTATATAATTACTGAAGTTAGTTTAGTTCTTTTTTTAAATATTTGGTACAGTGGGCGCACGATGGATTTAATCTTGTACACAACACCACCGGGAATGCAGGAGTCAGCAGACGGTTATCACCGCTAACCTTGACAAGTTCCTCTGCGGCCGTACCGTCTCGTGTCTTAGCCCAAACTCCTCGGCCCGGGTCAAAGGGTTAATAGACGAAAAATGTATGGCAATTGGATTCAGTTTTTATTCGGCGATTTTGAATTACAGATGGGCCTTTCTGGATAATCTGAAGAAAAAACCCGTTACCCATGACACGGAACGTTTATATTAGTCTGTGAACGGGGGAGGGACTCCAATACATTCTTGATCCGTCCTCCACTCCCGATAGATCTGTTTAGAAGTGCTAGATTTTTCTCTTCATCCTTCTTCGAAGGCCAGGCTGAAATCGTCCCTTATTGTAACGATTATAATGATTCTTTATTTCTTATCTTATACCGCTCAAAAATACAAGGGCTGATTAATCGATAAATTTTGACGCAGACTCCTGGTGAAATTGAATACAATTTGCACACATGAGGACTTTTAACTTCGAATCGATCAACTAACCGTCCGACTTATTCATAAAGACACAAAAATGCCTAATTTTAAATTTACAATCGCGTAAAACTTTATTTATCAAAAATGTCTGATATAATAACATTATATATAATAACCTCCAGATTGGGAAGGAACATCTAAAATGAAAAAAGAATATATTCAGAGTGACCACTTACCTTATTTTAACTAAGAGATTTCCGAATTAATATATTGCCACATAATACACAGTTATCTGAAACAAAAATTACTCAGTTTGGTAACAAATATTTATGGCAATTGGCAAAAAAGACGCATTAGTTTAATTTATATTTAGCTAAAATAAATTATCTAAAGAGTAATACATAAATTTGGGAGAAAGGGAAAAAGAAAGTAAAACAATGAGAAAAAAAGAAAGGAGAGGGTGAGGAGGTAGGTAGGGAGAGAGGGAAGGAGATTTTGTGTGAGTTTATTGAGTGAATTTAATTTTTTTTAGTTATTCAGATATTGTGAGATGCGGTCGGGTGTGATGTAGATTTCAGAAAAACATTTTCTTTATCGTGCCAACGTTTCGATCTTTTATTGAGATCATCTTCAGGGCTCAAAGTGTTTGTCTTCTGTGTAATTGTGCCATCCTTGCGTGTCGTGTCGAGAGTGCCAGTGAGATTTTGCTGTTTATTTTAATTTTTTTTAATTTACAGAGAAAGAGGGAGAGAGTGAGAGAGAGGTGAATTTAATTTTTTTCAATTTTCAGAGAGAGAGGGAATGCGAGAGAGAGAGAGAGAGGGAATGCGAGAGAGAGAGAGAGAGAGAGAGAGAGAGAGTGAGAGAGAGAGGAGAGAAGGAGATTTAATGTGAGTTTATTGAGTGAATTTAATTTTTTTTTAAATTTACAGAGAGAGAGAGAGAGAGAGAGAGAGAGAGAGAGAGAGAGAGAGATAGACAGAGATAGATAGATAGACAGAGAGAGAGAGAGATAGACAGAGAGAGAGATAGACAGAGAGAGAGAGAGAGGCAGAGAGAGAGAGAGAGAGAGAGCGAGAGAGAGCGAGAGAGTGAGAAGGGGCGAGGGGGAGATTTTGTGTAAGGAATTTAATTTTAAATTTGCCGCTAATTGTTAAACGCCCTTCCAAAAGGACCGATGTATTTGTGAGTTTTCATTTATAGAACAGTGCGCTATTTAAATTTATTTACAGTTTTTTGCGGTTTTTTGTTGTTTGCGTTATGAAACCAGTATGGATGATTGAATGACACGGCCGTTAAGAATTAAAAAAAAAATTGAAAATAATACAGAAACTACCGATCTCAATACCTGTAAGGAGTGAAGATAATTTATGTACGTTTCCGAGAGGCGACTCATTTGTCCCCGTGATAAAAACCCTCCTTCGGAAGGAAAGGAGGAAGACACCCTAACAAACACTTGTGTTTTATTGCTTTATTTTCAGCGCTTTTGATTTTTACAACCCGAATAAAAGGGCTTTACGGCGTAATAAAACTTGTTCCGAGTGCACGAGGGCCCCTCTCGCAGGGAGGAGGGTGAGTGGCGAAACCGGTTCGCACCCTCCCCCCAATATGAGTTTCACTTGTTCTCTTTAAATAAATCAAAGAGCCCATGGTTTACCATTTATTAAAGGCGATAACTATTGTGAAATACAAATTGTTATTTGACCCTTACAAAGGATTTATTACGTTGCTTTTACCACAATCAAAGGGAGATTAGAATATGATTTTTTTTCTCATTTTTTAAACGTAACTTTCCCCTAAAACTTTTCACAGTTAGAATGTTGATCAACTTAAATAACTAAATTTAATTGCCTAAAGTCAATAAATAACAAGCAAACGAACTCCTCCTGGAGACTTTAGAAATGGGGACTGACTACATGATCCCGGAAACATTCTTTACAACCTATAAAGTATTAAAGGACAATAAAGAAACGGGAGAACACAGGAGAGAAATGATATGGTATGCAGATGGCTCCAAAACAAACGAAGGAACCGGATCGATCGGTTGTTTTCCGTACAAGCTCAAAACATGAGCAATCAAACTCATTAGGTCAGTAACTTCGGTCATTCAAGCAGAAATACATGCCATCACCGCTTGTGCCCTGTAAAATCTTAAAAGGGGTTACACTGGCAAAAAATCCTCATAATATCTCATACCCAAGCAGCCATTAAGCATTTAAAAAAATACATCAAAATTAGTCAGTGAATCCATCCAAAACCTGGGGAAACACAACAACCTGATGATATCTTGGGTGCCAGGGCTCAGAGAAGTTTTGGGTAACGTGAGAGCGGACAGACTGGCCAGAAGAGGATCTGCAAGACCATACATAGGCTCCGAACCTGTAGTTGGGATAACAAAAACAAATATAGAATGGATTCAAACAAAACAAAAGGAGAAGTGAATAAACTCTAGCGGTGCTAGATATAGTAAACTTATGATGAAACAGCCCTCACCAAAACTGGCAAAAACATTGATGCAATTGGAGAGGGCCAAACTCAGAAGAGTGGTAGGACTACTAACCGGTCACTGGCATCTGGGAAAACATCTATACAGTATGGGTGTTTACAACGATGATCCCATTTGCAGATTATGTAATGAGGAGGAGGAAAGCCACTCATAACATCTTCGAATGTCAAGTAACGGCCCAATGGAGACAACCAAGCAAACAGAAAAAAAAACATAGGTCGTGAAATTGTAACAGCGTCAGTAAGATACCACCCTTAAAATCGACGAAAACTGGATAAGACAGCACAAAACATGTTTAAATCGATACTATTTTTTTCCTTTTAGCTAATTAATTTTTTAAGCTTGTAGTCAACTACCAAAGGAAAGAAAAAACAATTCTTTCCTAGAATTAATGCAAGAAATAGTTCACATTTTGCGGCGTTTTCCTTTGCAAGATACCACCCTTAAAATAGGCGAAAACTGGATAACAGTCCAAAAAATTGTTTATGTAGATTCTATTTTGTTCCTTTGAGCTAATAAGTGTTTTAAACATGCAGTCGACGACCAAAGAAAAGAAAAAGAAATTCTTTCCTAGAATTAATGCAAGAAATAGTTCGTTCACATTTTGTGGTGTTTTCTTTGTAAGATACCACCCTTAAAATCGACGAAATCTGGATAACACAGCACAAAATCGATACTATTTTTTCCTTTTAGCTAATTAATTTTTTAAGCTTGTAGTCAACTACCAAAGGAAAGAAAAAGCAATTCTTTCCTAGAATTTATGCAAGAAATAGTTCACATTTTGTGGTTTTTTCCTTTGCAAGATACTACCCTTAAAATCGAAGAAAACTGAATAACACAGTACAAAAAAATATTTAAATAGATACTCTTTTCCTTTTCGCTTATTATTTTTTTAATGGATACAGTCGACGACAAAAAAAAAAAAAAATTCTTTTCTAGAATTAGTGCAATGAATAGTTCAAATTTTGTGGTGTTTTTCTTTGCAAAATACCAACTTTGAAATCGAATAAAATATGGAAAAGATAACTGCAGAATTTTTCCATTGCAAGAAAACACCAATGGAATGGACGAAAAACTATATCAAAAGTTAATATTAGTCACGTTAATAAATTTTCTCCGACAAAAAGCTAAACCTAATTTACTGCCGTGGGCTCTCCTTTACCATCCTAGACTGAGAAAGCTCCCCCTGGGGACTTCGATGGCTGAAATTCTATCTTGTCTCGTTTAATTCGTGGCCGTCTGTGAGAAGAGCGGAAGTCCAGCCGGGTAATAAGAGATCCCCCTTCGGGTTGGCTCTTTGTTCCGCGAGCAATCCATTCCAAATCTCCGCCCCTCTTCTTCTCTTTTCAACCCGAAACCTTTTGTGAGAGATCTAGAAAACCTTGGTTTTTCCTTCTTCTATTATTATATCTATTATTATATTTATTATTATACATCTACATTGAGTCTCCTGAGGTGTTCACAATACAAACAGACGGAAGGAGGAATGGCTGATAATACCATATTATTTTAATGAAAAGGATGAAGCCTTCCATTTTGACAACGACACATCAAAGGGAGAGAAAGAGACTTCAGTAGAAAAACCGTCAAATAAATTGTAAATATCTAATTTCATGAAATGGTTACTGCTGTATGAACAAAACCTTCTCTCGATTAATCTCCCATTTTGGGTGGTTCTTGCCAAGTACAAGATGTACGAAGTCCTAGAGGGTTTTCTTGATATGAACTTGATGCTGTTACTTTGTGTTGTGGGGAAAAATCACGATTTACGTTTTTTACATTTCTTTACATACTTTACATACGTTTTTTTACGTACTTTTCTCTTCTGTTTCTCCGGTAGACCTTTGGCCTTTCATCGTTTGCAGAAATCCCAAGGACGTTCCCAGTTGTCACAGTTCGTTAATTCCTAGTTGTTAAGCTAATACAATACGGTTCTAACAATTGTGACCCACTTGCAGAAATTTTCAAGCGGTTAACGTCGGCAGGGGTTGGTACCTGATTTTCCCATGGAACACATTGTCATTGTACATTGTCTGGAACCCACCAGCCTTCTCTACCCGTCCCCTTACCAAATTAAAACTACTTTAAAAAGAAGGAAAAAAGTAAAAGCACGAAAGATCATTTTCACATGACAAGTAATTAAAATAGTAAAATATAATATTTCTTGTCTATAAAAAATATACACACTCAACAAAGAACAAAAATCATCAACAACTTTCTATTTACCAAATTTTATTTGGTAAAGAAAAATGTAATTTATGAAGGAATTTTCAACATAACTTCTTATGCCCGCCAAATAGATTTATCTTCACTCACATTCTTGATGGTCTTATGATGTTAGGCTTTTAAGATCTTCGTCCAAATTCATTCTTCAAACATTCCTGATGACTGTGTGGTGATTAGTGACCGTTAGTCGATAATCATTCAGAAATCGTGAGATGCGGTCTGGTGTGATGTAGGTTTCAGAAAAACATTTTCTTTATCGTACCAACATTTCGATCTTTATTGAGATCATCTTCAGGGCCTGGGAAATTCACTTTTCCACATCCTAAATGTATTTGTTAAATGTAAATGTTTGTAAATCCCACGCCCTGAAGATGATCTCAATAAAGATCGAAACGTTGGCACGATAAAGAAAATGTTTTTCTAAAACCTATCACACCAGACCGCATCTCATGATTTCTGAATAATTCCTGATGACTTTAAGATGTTAGGCTGTTAAGATCTCCATTAACACCGTTATATTTCGTGGTCCGATTGACCAAACAACTTCTTTCAATTATTAA